ACTCGACTCATCGTATACCAAAATATAACACCGAGGCTCTTTCATCCACATGGTTAACCACCGAGGCCCCTTAATCAAGCAGCCGACCCACTCAAAGAGTAGTTGACTAAGTCAAAGTATTAGAACCACCTCAACGAAGCTTCACACACCTGAAAGCAATCAAAAGTGAAGTTGCACTTAAAACAAAAATATTGTTCTCTTCGAAGTCTTGTTGACTCGGGCTATTAAGCTTGCAAAAGTATCTTAAAACATGATGCCTTAAAGTCATATGACTTAGGAGTTGATAAGTGCAATTTAATTATGCACTTATTTGGACCATATTACTAAATTTTTATGTCATCAAATTATTATTTTTTACCTAATTTGGGTTTTTTTTTTTTTTTTTTTTTTTTTTTTTTTTGAAAATAAATGGACTCAAGGGACTAAACTGCATTAATTATGAAGAATGAGGCCTTGAAGACAAGCATCACCATTATATATTTGAACATGGTAAATGTATGGGAATAAAATTCTAATTAACTTTGAATTTAAAAATAAAAATAAATAAATAATAAAAACACGCTGATGGCAGGAAAGTCCAATTTCAAGTGGACTTTTATATCAAAATTGGACCAAAAAACCAGTTTGGGAAAAGGATGAAATACCATTTGCAATTGGACTCTTGAGCAACAATACAAAGCAGCGGCTGTTTGAGAAAAAACATAGGAATATATACACGCAGAGGAAAAGAAAAGGAATATGACTGTGGCAATACGGAATTGCTGGAATTAATCATGTTTGGTCGATTTTTGGTGATTTTTTTTTATCTTTTTTTATTTAATTTCAGCATTATGTTTGGCTAAATTATTTTGTATTAGGATTTTCGATGAACCTTGTATTATAAACTTTTAACTTTTGAATTTTATTTATTTTGACTTCAAAACACGATTTCAGTTTTGAATAATTGACATTGATTTAATTTTTTTCTAATTACTTGATCACTAATTGTATGAATATTGAAAATAAGTTAGACATAGTGTTAATTATCGTAGAATCCGATAGGAAATAGAAATATATTGTTATGTTTACATGATCTTTAAGTATTCACAAATCCATTAATGCATTTTTATATGTTCACATCCGTTATAGAAATATAGTCGGGTCATATGTAAAAATAGGTTTAATTCTACTCAAAAAAGATTGTTAAACAAATTAGGAATATTGATCTTTACAATTGAATTGTGTTGTCAAATTTATAAAATTCGAGTTAAAAGGGATTTATATAAGGGGAGTTGAGATCCTAGTACGTTTTTTTCATCATATTTTAATCAAGCTAGCATTAATCACAATCTTGAATCAATTTTATTTAAGTTAGGTCTTGCATTTTTAATTATAATAGTTAGTGACCATTTAACCTTAAAAAAATCACAAATTTTAATTGTTTCAGTTAAGACTGAGTTAATTCGAATTTGAACTAGTACAATCTCTATTGGATGATACTTGGACTCACAATCCATTTTATTACTTGTTAACGAACTATACACTTGCGGTTATTTTAGATCGAAAGATATTTTCGTGAACAGGAGTCATCAGCCTAAAGCCTACTATATGAGTCATCTAAAAAGTTTAAGGGAGATAATGTAAAAAGGAAAAAAAAAATACTTTCGAAAATTATAAGAAGCAAGTGCATAAGAAAAACAAAAGCACTAAGTGCCTTGGTTAAGTCCTAACCCTTGTTTAAGGAAATTTGATTTTCAATGAAAGATAATTAGTCTAGTTGAATCTTCGAAATCGAAATAATCAAATAATTGGAGAATCTTTATTTATTTATGTGTTGACTTGCAATTAGTGATGTCCACCTGAACTAAAGAGGGTGAAAATAATAATGAAAAATTCAACCTTAGAGTAAACATTGGGAAAAAGTGAAGAGGCAGAAATTAAAAAAAAAAAAATTGGAGGTGTGTGGACCAACATTTACAAGTCAATTTATACTATAACAATTGGTACACACGATTTTTGAGTCCTCATTTTATATGACAACCTTTTTCTAACAAATATGCTCTGCAATTGGTGAGGGGTTTAATGAATAGTGGATACCTCGCCTCGAATGTTAAGGTTACCTATAGAAGTTTAAGAGTTCGTTTGATTTGTGTTTCAATTTTGAGTTCATTTATAGTTTTTTGTTTTAAGGGCCTATTTTAATATTGCTAAAAAAGCTTTTGGTTGGTCATGTGAAAAAATAATTTCTCAAAACCAAAAACTAAAAAACATGTTTGAGTTGAAATTTTTAGAAATTGATTATGACATTTTATTCCATGAAATTTGATTATTCAATAAAAATAGAACAATTTTATGTTAATATATTATCAAGTAATATATAAAAATTAAAGTTGATAAATCTTACAATTTTATTTTTCTCTCTATAAAAGTAATTGAGTTCAAAATAAAGGAAATAAAAATTAATTATGTGGGCTGAGAATATATTTATGTGTATTCATTCAAATATTGTCTTAGATCTTTTTTTAAATAACCATTAGAACTTTGAACTTTTTTTATTTTTTATTTTTCTAAAAAAATTTAAAATTTTACTTTTCAAAAGTTTTTTATCTTTTCAGAATTGTATTTTTTTAGAAGTTTAGATTTTGTTTTTTTCAAAATTTTTATTTTTTAAAATTTTATTTGTTTGAATTTTATGCTTTTATTTTCTAAAATTTTCAGTTTTTTTTTTTTAAATGTTTGTTTTCCATGTTTGGAGTATTTTCAGAATTTTCATTGAAAATATTCAAAACATCAAAAATAAGTTTTTAATTCTAAATAATAAGTTTAAACATATTTTCAAAAATGCATTTTCAGAAATATGAGACAACACATTTTCAAGGTTTTGCAAAATCGAAAACTGAAAAAACTTGAAAACAGCAAATCAAATGCATTCTAAATTGTCTATTTTTGTTGAACAACCTCATAAAAATCTAAACACTATTTTACATAATTGAATCACAATCACTCCAAGAAGATACAACATGTGATGTGCTGATCTATCATAGTGTTGCTCTTAGAAAGAAACTCAAATATGATACAGCTATTGTGTCGTCTAGATAATAAACAATGGTATGGTCACGGGAACCCATCGAAACATGGCAAAAGAGGGTTTTCATAGGACAATTATCGTTGCTTATGACTATATGGTCCTGAATATAACTGAAACACAAAAAAACATGTGATGGTTATACACTTCGCAATTTGTTTTTAGCTATTGTGGTCCAAACCTTGTAGGCCTATGGTTTAAATATAATGTCTCATTTTTCCAAAAACTCATTTTCAACCATACATTCTCCCTAAAATAATTTTACATGTAATCCAAAACATTTCTTAATTTTTTTTAACTATATCATTAAATTCTAAACATTGTATTTCATAATTCAATTGCATCCACGCCAAGAAGATACAACATGTGATTTGCTGATCTTTTATAGTGTTGCACCTACTGTATTTTGCTTTTAAAAAAACAACTAAAATATAGTGTTATTATTGTGTGGTCTGGATAATAGACAGTGGTATGGTCATGGGAATCAATCTAAGTCGTAGCAAAAGTGAGTCTTCATAGAACAACTGTCGTTAAACAAAAAATAATAATAAATAAAATAAAATCATGTGATGATTGTGCACCTTGAGATTTTTTTTTTAAAGCTATTGTGGTCTAGACTCCGTGGCCATGTTTGTGGCCTTCATTTTTTTTCGAAAATTCATTTTTTCAAAACTTATTTTCAACTGAACATTCTTTCGTAAAATAATTTATACCTAAATTCATTTTTTTTATTTTGTTTTTTAACCACACATTCTGAAAGGAAAAAAATTCAATATTACAAAATAATTTTTCCCTTGAAAAATAGGGCTCAAAAAAGGATATCATCTCAAGTTTCTCCATAGTTTTAAAACGTGTGGTGAGGTGGATTGAGAAGACGGTTGTATTTGTATTTTGTGAATCTAAACGCAATTGATTAAAATTATCAATTATTTTTCAAATATTTCATAGAAAAGTACAAGCATCAAAGTAGAGTGTGCAATTGCATCATTATGTGCTTTAAATTTCATACTGCCATTGAGCACGTGTTTGTGGAAACCCTGATTCAGAACATGTGACTTCACGTGAATTGGAGAAAATTGAACTGTATAGATGAGTCGCAAAGTTCACCAACAACGAAGGATGTTTTTTTCCTTTTTTTTGATCGGTACAATTAAGGAGTTTTTGTTTGAATGAAAGGATGTGTACACCACATTTTTTCTTCACTTTTTTTATTTTATTTTATTTTAGATTTTGTTGTATTAAGAGTATAAATGCAAATTTATTGTGGTGTATTTATTGAAATTATATTTTAATTGTGATGTGATTATAATGTGGTGTAGTAATTTAATTTTGTGGTGTTATAATAATTACCCATTTATTTATTTAAATTTATTATTATACGGAATAAATATCAAATATACCGTTGTAATTTTAAAATACGAGGGAGGTACAGAAGTGACAAGACCTTGGATTTGGAGTTCTTCATTTCAATAATGCAAAAGTACTTAACAAAACAAAACCGTCCAACTAGCGACAGTTATTTTCTAAACAAACCGTCCATCCATTTAAAACGTGTTTTAACTTTTGATGTTGAAATTATATTTTAATTGTGATGTGATTATAATGTGGTGTAGTAATTTAATTTTGTGGTGGTATAATAATTACCCATTTATTTATTTAAATTTATTATTATACCGAATAAATTTCAAATATACCGTTGTAATTTTAAAATACGAGGGAGGTACACAAGTGACAAGACCTTGGATTTGGACTTCTTCATTTCAATAATGCAAAAGTACGTAACAAAACAAAACCGTCCAACTAGCGACAGTTATTTTCTAAACAAACCGTCCATCCATTTAAAACATGTTTTAACTTTGGATGTTCACCTTTCAAATTAAAAGTAGCAAAATTTCAGCTTTCGCCGTACGTGATAGAACTATAAATACCCATCAAAAGAACTCTATTAAAATGAAAAAAAAAAAGTAAAAAACATTTATTGATTTCCTATCAAGTTCTGAAAGTAAAATATCGAAATATGGATATTCATATTCATGCATCAGCTGCTCCAATTTCGACCAAAAATATTGGCATCGAAGAAACTCGTCGCTCTATCACCTATCATCCTAGTGTTTGGGGAGACTATTTCCTTGCATATACTTCTAACGTGCGTACTCATGTGCTTATCACCCCTTTTATAGTAGCATTCTTTTTGTCTAAATTTATTTGATATGTTACAAGCTTTCATGTATTTTTATTACCTATGCAGGATATATATGAGCATGAAGAGCAAGAACGTCAAAAACAAAAAGAAGAAGTAAAAAATCTGCTAGAAGTCATTCCTGATGATTCTCTGCATAAATTAGACCTCATCGATACAATTCAGCGTCTTGGCATCGGTTACCATTTTGAAACTGAAATTGAAAAATCTCTAAAATTTATATATCATACTTGCCATGTAAACCATGATGAACAAGATAGTGACCTTCGTACCATTGCACTTCGATTTCGATTACTTAGACAAGAAGGATACTACGTCTCATGTGGTAAGTAATTTAAGATTATATACTTGGGGAATCAATAATCATTATCACTGTATATATCTAGATTATGATGTATATACATGTCATATTTTTGCGGGTTGAAGCAGATGTTTTCAACAAGTTTAAAGATCACCAAGGAAAATTTGATGAATCTTTGATTACCAATTTACAAGGCTTGTTAAGCTTGTATGAGGCTGCACATTTTAGAGTACATGGGGAGGAAATTCTTGAGGAAGCATTGAAGTTTACTACCACTTACCTCGATTCGTCACTCACCCACAAGAGCAATTATATGTCTAGACAAGTTAGTGAAGCATTGGAGATTCCGATTCATAAAACTTTGACAAGGCTGGGGGCAAGAAACTTCTTATCTATTTACCAACAAGATGAATCACATAATGACATACTACTGAATTTCGCAAAATTGGAATTCAACTTACTGCAGAACATGCACCAGAAGGAGCTAAGTCACATTACGAGGTTAGCTTGTTATGCAGAAAAATATGACTACTAAAGTCGAATGTATTTTTCTCTACTTTTCAACTAATATCAAACTTACGGTTGACTTTTAAGTTTATTATGGATATATTTTTATATAGAAGTAAATTGTAGGTGGTGGAAGTCTTTAGAGTTTGGAAGTAAATTGCCGTTTGCAAGAGATAGAGTCGTGGAATGCTACTTTTGGATATTGGCGGTCTACTTTGAGCCGGAGTACTCTATCTCTAGAAAAATACTAACTAAAGTAATCACAATGTTTTCTGTTATTGATGACATCTACGATGTTTATGGAACCCTAGATGAACTTACACTTTTCACGGACGCAACTGAAAGGTATATTTATCCATTATATTGTCTCATTTCTAGTCTTTCAATTTTTAACTATTGAACAATATCATGGACAGGTGGAATTTTAAAGACATGGATGAGCTACCATTATACATGAAGTATTGCTTTGAAGCCCTCTCTGATGTTTGCGTTGAAATTGCTGAAGAATTGGAAAAGACAAGCAAAGGGTACGGTATTCGTTACGTGATAAAAGAGGTAATTATAGTCAAAACACTAGACACACACACACACACACACACACACACACACACACACACACACAGAAGAGTACATGAAAGTCGCACTTATATCTAGTGGTTACATGATGTTATCTACAACTTGTTTAGTAGGTATGGGAGAGTTGGTGACCGAGGAAGCCTTTAACTGGATTTCGACTGAATCGATAGCTGCAAAAGCATCATCAATTATTGCTCGGCTAATGGATGACATGGCAGGACACGGAGTAAGAAGTTTGAATACTTAATTCACTTATTCTAAATTATAATAACTAAGTGCAATATGCTTGGGTTATTGGTAAGCAAGTGAAATGTATGGATGACAGTTCACACATATATTGTGATAGACTTCACATAAAAATTAGAACACACAACTCCTATGGTCATTAAAATTATAGAATTTTTTTCATGTTGCACACCATATTGTTTTTCAAGATTTTTTTTTAATTATATTTGTAATAGTTGAAGTTTGTGATTTGTTTTTATTAATTATTTACTTTTTTAGAGTTATTTGTAATATGAAAATTTTAAGTGTAATCAATTTAAAAAGTAGTGAAAGTTATGTTTTTTAACTAGCAAAATTATTTTATTGAGAAAATGTGTAATTGAAAATGAGTATGAGAAAATCTAACATAGACGATTCATATGTTGTGTTCCTTTTATGCAGTTTGAGCAGAAAGTATCAGCTGTTGAATGTTACATGAATGAGAAAGGGGTCTCGAAGGAAGAAGCATTTACTGAATTACAAAAACTAGTTACAAATGCATGGAAGGATATAAACCAAGAATGTCTTCATCAAACTGTGGTACCAATGGCCATTCTCATGCGAGTAGTCAATCTTGCACGTGCCATTAATCTTCTTTACAGAGATGGAGATGGGTACACAAATTCAAAAACCAAGTTAAGAGGATTGATAGCTGACGTACTTGTCGAACCAGTGAAAATATAGCTTTTATGTGTGTGTGCGTGTGTTTTGATTAAGATTAAGTTTTATTAATATTTCTTTATTAAATAAATTTGGAATTCAATTTTGTTTGTCTCAAATTAATTATGATCAGGATTTTTAATCTTCGTTATTATCTAAACTTTGTAAGTATCCATATTTTAGTTATTTCTTTAAATAATAGTTATTAGCCATTAAAACATTAAGTAGTTTTTGAATTGAAGTTATAGGCTTTGGAGTTTTTCCAATATCTTAGAACGCGTTTGGTTTGTCATTTTAAAGCCCTTTTCTATTTTTAGTTTTCGAAAATGCCTAAAATACGTTTGATCTGTCATTTTCGAAAATGCATTTGTGAATACAAGGAAAAATATATAACTGAAAACTCAAAACAATTTTTTTTTCCATTTTGGGTGTTTTCAGTTAAAAAAACTCAAATCGTGAAAAACGCTCAAAACACGTCATTTTCTTTTTCTTTTTCTTTTTCTCTTTTCTACCTAGGGAATGCTTAGCAGTACTTTTAAAATAGTAAATTCACCAAGTTTAAAATATATATTATCTGGTAACATATTAGCATAAATTATTATGTTTTACTAAATAATGAATTTAATTGAATAAATGTCATAAAACAATTTCTAAAAATTTATTATTTTATTTTTGCACCAAGAAAAAATATTAAATTCACCAAATTTAAAATATATATTATCTGGTAATATATTAACATAAAATTATTATTTTTTACTAAATAATCAAATTAACTGAATAAATGTCATAAAATAATTTCTAAAAATTTAGTATTTTATTTTTTGTAGCAAGAAAAAAAATAGTAAATTCACCAAATTTAAAATATATATTATCTAGTAATATATTAGCGTAAAATTTTTATGTTTTACTTAATAATCAAATTAATTGAATAAATGTCATAAAACAATTTCTAAAAATTTTAAACCAAACATATCTTCTAGTTTTCTGTTTTGAGAAATCGTTTTTCAAAATAACAAACACCAAATTTAAAATATATATTATCTAGTAATATATTAGCGTAAAATTTTTATGTTTTACTTAATAATCAAATTAATTGAATAAATGTCATAAAACAATTTCTAAAAATTTTAAACCAAACATATCTTCTAGTTTTCTGTTTTGAGAAATCGTTTTTCAAAATAACAAAACAAACATGTTTTCTATAATTCAAAAATAGTCCATCGAACTAGAAAACTAAAAATAAATTCAAAACTAAAAACAAAAAATGCAAACGCAAACGAAATGTACCCTTAAATTCCCAATATTTGATATTTTAAATTAACGATTCTAAATCGTGCATAACTTGAAGAGTCTTTGGTTATTAGTTTTCTAGTATTCGATAATGTGTATGATTATTTTTTTCTATTCTTTCATTCTTACATCATTGGGTACCATATCAAGGTTCGTTTTTGATAAAGATGACTTTTCGTGGAATCTAATTCCAAAAATTGTATTTTATGATGAAACCACCCATTTTGTTCCATTCAGTTCGAACGTTAAATAATATTCTGATTTTGATGATAATAATTATATTTATCTTTCAATATTTGATGATGAGATTGAAAAATGTTTAAGTGATACAAACAAGCCTTACGACGTGTTCATATTTTTTATATTGAACCCCAAATATCAAGATATTTAAGGAATTTTAGGTGCACATTATTCGACAAGTCATTCATGATGGAGAGATTGATTGAGCTCGATATGACCAAAAACCCATTTGTTATCTCCACTATAACAATTCATACAAAGTTCTATGAATTTTATTTTAACAAGCATCCATTTAAGCAACGTGTAGACATTGGATATAATTGTGATATGAGTGAAGGATTTGGTTTGTCCTGGAATCAATTCAAGCATGGTCATTTATTGAGTGAATGGATTTGTCATATTGAATTTCATTGACAATATTTTTAATGAGACAACTTTTCTAGCGTATTTAAAAGAATAATATATTCTTTTTCTTTCATTAGGATTTTTTCAATAGAGCTTTTCCTAATAAAATTTTTTTTGAGTCATATTCTTTGTGTAATAATGTCGATAACATACAGCACATTTTCCTTCAAAATAATATTCTTATATGTTACAAATTGTATAAAACTCCTAAAAAGAGTAACAACACAATCTATTTTTCAATAAATCATCATGCTGATTAAAGACAAACAAAGATTGATAAATATCATCTATGGAGACGATATTACTTAAATGCTTTAACAAGCCAACACGAAACATATTTTACCAGAATTGCATTAATATTGAAGACATTGACGGCTTTATACAATTATTTTTATTTATTGAAATCAAGGTTGCATCTGTACTATTTTTCATTAGTTCAAGATTTGTCCCATTGGGTCTTTTGACAAGGTTTTAAAGAGCAAAATTTTATTACTCCAAATTATTTGTAATTTTTCTCATTTGTTGGTATTTTGTCCCATCAATTTTTTGTCAAACAATATTTTCAATGATACTGTTATTGCATAAATAGTCATTTTACGAGGGAGTATTAGAATTTGTGAATGATCATTGTATCCCTTGTAATCTAATTCTTCCCAATAAATATGGGACTTTGATTTTTAATAAAAATACATACAAGTCTATTGATTTCTCTACACTCTCTTCTCTTTTCTCTCTTTTGTACAACACATTTATCTTGTTTAGTCGAAGTCTTGAATTACTTAAATATGGAATATTAAATCGAGAAATAATGTGTAGAGGGAATTCGCTAATTTAATTTATTCTACTAATTAATTAATTAGATAATAGCATTTAATTTCTCTTTCAACTCCCAATTCCGAAAATTTCAAACCCCACATTTACAAAATATAGTATCTGAACACAAATTATTCCAATCTATGGTAGATTATTCATGCCTTGTTGGTTTTCGTAAAATAATAACATAGTAAATTAATTCTTTGTATTTGGTATTTACCAAATAGAATATCTGAATACATATTTTTTCACTCTATGGCTGATTTTTCATATCTCGTTTAGTGTTCATAAAATAATGACATAGAAAATTAATTATTTACATATAGTATTTACTAATTAGAGTCTCTGAGTACAAATTATTTCACTCTACGGTATGGGTCTTCAAACTTCGAAATGAAAGTTTTGAATCTCACTCAGTTTAAATATATGAATTAGTGTCCTCCATTCGAATTTTACTATCACTTGTTACTTTCATGTGACTTAAAGATAGAGAGAAAAAATATAAAGCCCCTTAACTCTTTTCATCAATTCAATTAAAAATCGCCTTAGATTTTAACATCTACATTTATAATTTTCGTCGCATACTAGTCCAAACTCTTGAATCTAAATAGATTAGGGACTTAAAAACCTAACTGTTGAATGTTGAGGACCATACCTAAATTACATAAAAAGTCGAGGAGCCCAGCTCTACACCCTAATTTTCCCTTTATATTACCATCCACAGCCTCCCCCACCCCACACACAAAGCTCTATTTAATGCACACAGAAAGAGAACACTGATAGAGAAAGGAGAGAAGTGACAAGAAGAGGCCATTCCTAGTTACTTTCTCTCTCTAAACTTCTTGCATTTTAGAGAGAGAGATGAATCTGTGGGCTCAGCTCTGTATATTTTGTGCGGTGCTGTTTATTTTTCTTAGAATCAACCAATCAAATGCAAAGAATTGTGATTTGTTTGAAGGAAGTTGGGTCACTGATTCATCATCCCCTCTCTACAACTCAAAATCCTGTCCATTCATTGAGAGAGAGTTCAACTGTCAAAACAATGGCCGCTCTGATACCTTATACCTCCAATACAAATGGCAACCCCATACCTGCAAGTTACCAAGGTATGATATCTTCAATAATGCTACATTATCAAGATAGACGTAATATCACGTGGTATTCTATTATTAGACAGTTTAAATCACAATCAACTTTTCCATTCAATCATCTACTACTATATGTAATTATGTCAAGTTTTTTGTCAAATCTTTCTGGCAAAGTAGTTTTATCCTATCACTTCCCCTCTGTGTTTACAGGATCTTGGCATTAAAGAATTATATTAAAAATAAATATTGATAATTGCATCCAAAATTTACAGCTCATTAGCAATACTGACATAGATTCTTCGTGTCTTCACGTGATGGGATAAAAAAATTAAAATTTATCAGCAAAATCATGGGATGTCTTGTGAGAGAACAGATCCCAACACATGCTGCTTACTATTGACTTTTGTCTACTCAATTTTTTATTTTTTGACCTTTTACATAATTAATACTAATTTTTGCTTTAATTAATTTGACTCTTCATATATATGCATAACAAGATTTTTACACTACTAAAACCAGAAATTCATCTGTGAAGCCTGTTAAATTTTCCATCGGAATAGACCAATTCCAACAAACAAAAGTGGCTGGAAAGTCCCTGTTATTTATTAATAGTAATAAGGCTGTCACGTCGGCCCCCTATTTTTTGGCCTGGCCTTCAACCTGGCCAAAAAGCAGGTAATCTTTTATCTTTTTGTTACATGGACGACGTCAAGTTATTCATAATTGATTTCTCCTCAGTCGATAGAATAACTATATAGGATGATACAAAAATAATTGTTACTTTTCATAAATATCTTTGTATGTAGTGACACCTAGTCTTAAGTCTCTGATGGCATTAATTGGCTAATTTCCTACTCAATACAATTACCAAAAATAAATAAAAAATAAAAAAAAGTAAAGGATTTTGATGCAAATTAAATTTGTGTTTGAGCAGATTTGATGGCCAACATTTCTTGCAAAGATTCGAAGGGAAAAGCATAATGTTTGTGGGAGATTCTTTAAGCCGGAATCAATGGCAGTCATTAACATGCTTGCTTTACACAGCCTTACCATCGACCAAATATAATGTTTCTAGAGTCGGAGATGTTTCTACATTCACATTCGCGGTAAGATCAAACAATTTTGCAAGTCGTATATCATACTGAGTATCAAATATTTTTAAAAGATATATTTTTTCATCTTAAGTTAGACACAAGCATAGAATTAGATAAAGTGAAAGGTTAGAACTATTAATTACATAAAAGTTGAAAAAGACTCGACAACAAACGTTTCGGTGATAAGAAATTTGCCCATTTTGAACTACTGTGGGGTNATACCTAAATTATATAAAAAGTCGAGGAGCCCAGCTCTACACCCTAATTTTCCCTTTATATTACCATCCACAGCCTCCCCCACGCCACACACAAAGCTCTATTTATTGCACACAGAAAGAACACTGATAGAGAAAGGAGAGAAGTGACAAGAAGAGGCCATTCCTAGTTACTTTCTCTCTCTAAACTTCTTGCATTTTAGAGAGAGAGATGAATCTGTGGGCTCAGTTCTGTATATTTTGTGCGGTGCTGTTTATTTTTCTTAGAATCAACCAATCAAATGCAAAGAATTGTGATTTGTTTGAAGGAAGTTGGGTCACTGATTCATCATCCCCTCTCTACAACTCAAAATCCTGTCCATTCATTGAGAGAGAGTTCAACTGTCAAAACAATGGCCGCTCTGATGCCTTATACCTCAAATACAAATGGCAACCCCATGCCTGCAACTTACCAAGGTATGATATCTTCAATAATGCTACATTCTCGAGATTGGCATAAAGTTTAACATAATGTTACGTGGCATTCTATCATTGACAGCTTAAATCACAATCAACTCTTTCATTCAATCATCTACTACTATATGTAATTATGTCAAGTTTTTTGTCAAATCTTTCTGGCATAGTAGTTTTATCCTATCACTTCCCCTCTGTATTTACAGGATCTTCGCATTAAAGAATTATATTAAAATTAAATATTGATAATTGCATCCAAAATTTACAGCTCATTAGCAATACTGACATAGATTCTTCGTGTCTTCACGTGATGGGATAAAAAAATTAAAATTTATCAGCAAAATCATGGGATGTCTTGTGAGAGAACAGATCCCAACACATGCTGCTTACAATTGACTTTTGTCTACTCAATTTTTTATTTTTTTCACCTTTTACATAATTAATACTAATTTTTGCTTTAATTAATTTGACTCTTCATAAATATGCATAACAAGATTTTTACACTACTAAAACCAGAAATTCATCTGTGAAGCCTGTTAAATTTTCCATCGGAATAGACCAATTCCAACAAACAAAAGTGGCTGGAAAGTCCCTGTTATTTATTAATAGTAATAAGGCTGTCACGTCGGCCCCCTATTTTTTGGCCTGGCCTTCAACCTGGCCAAAAAGCAGGTAATCTTTTATCTTTTTGTTACATGGACGACGTCAAGTTATTCATAATTGATTTCTCCTCAGTCGATAGAATAACTATATAGGATGATACAAAAATAATTGTTACTTTTCATAAATATCTTTGTATGTAGTGACACCTAGTCTTAAGTCTCTGATGGCATTAATTGGCTAATTTCCTACTCAATACAATTACCAAAAATAAATAAAAAATAAAAAAAAGTAAAGGATTTTGATGCAAATTAAATTTGTGTTTGAGCAGATTTGATGGCCAACATTTCTTGCAAAGATTCAAAGGGAAAAGCATAATGTTTGTGGGAGATTCTTTAAGCCGGAATCAATGGCAGTCATTAACATGCTTGCTTTACACAGCCTTACCATCGACCAAATATAATGTTTCTAGAGTTGGAGATGTTTCTACATTCACATTCGCGGTAAGATCAAACAATTTTGCAAGTCGTATATTATACTGAGTATCACATATTTTTAAAAGATATATTTTTTTATCTTAAGTTAGACACAAGCATAGAATTAGATAAAGTGAAAGATTAGAACCATTAATTACATAAAAGTTGAAAAAGACTCGACAACAAACGTTTCGGTGATAAGAAATTTGCCCATTTTGAACTACTGTGGGGTCCTTCAATGACTTTCCAGGGCATCAAATGCAACTCTAAGAAAAGCTATAAAGTCAATGCGTCTATATGCTTAGGCTACACAAAAATAAATACCCAATGGGTATGAGCAATAAAAGAATCAAAAAGTTCATTAAAATGTCATCAAAACAACTTGTAAAATGGGTCGATATTCCAATTTAGAAACAATTTATTAAATTTGGAGTTCCATGTCTTGCTTGAATGTTTGGGTCGAACTAAAAGTTTGTAATGTTTTGCAGGATTTTGACGTTAAGGTGATGCTTGATCGCAATGTATATTTGGTGGATGTTGTGAAAGAAGCCAACGGTAGAATCTTGAAATTGGACTCAATTGAGGGTGGAAAAATGGAAAACGGGATCGATGTGCTTATTTTCAACATGGCATTGGTGGAATCGTAGAGGAGCTACACTTTTCATTTTGTGTTGCGAAAACAATCAAAATAAATTGATGATTCACAGGTTTGTTACAAATCCATTCAGATATTATTTTACTACTTTGGGTGTCTTTTATATAACATACTATAAATCTTCCTCATGGTGATACGATTAAAAGACACAGACAATTGTATAATCTCAAGACCAAATATGAGTTTGTTGTTATAAGTTGCACATCTGACATGAGAACCATTTTGTATAACACATTGTGCTAGCCTAACTTGAGACATATTCATCAATCAACCATGGGATCAGCGAAGTTTGATGCATGCACTAGAAATGTAATATACAGCAAAATGACACAAACACACCACATATTGAGGAATTTAAAATCACATATTGCATAAATAATATATGTATCTTGCAAAATATCATAATAATGTTTACTTCATGAAAATTATTATTCTAAATAAAATTGGCCAATACTTAGAAGGATTACATAGCTTTTACGCGTATGAAAATTGCATGTCAACTCCGCATCAAGGTCAGAAGACTAATTGAGATGTTTGTAAATATTTATATCGTCCTACTCGAGGAGAAGTGAGCAATCTATTATAATCAGCATTCAGTACATTGAAGCTTCATTTAACTTATGGACGCTTTCTATCAGCGATGCAGTGATTCGACTGTCCTTGTTCTAGAACTCCATGTAGAATAGAAGAGAGTTATTAGTTATCCAAATAGAGGTCATGTCTACATCAACAACTTAATCCATCTTAGACTAGACCTCATATCAATCTGTAATTCACTTGATATCGTGTCAATAAAATCTGCTTGTATGCACCCTGTCAGCACAATAAGTTCAAATGTATTTGAACCACAATTAATGAACATAGTGACAGTCTTCATATCTGCATCCAACGCACATATAGGAATTACACATACTTATTTTGAAGTAATATAGGAATTTAGCATTATAATTGGATTGTTCTACAATAATTATTCGGTGGTCAAGAAATGTTATCCTTATCCATCATCGAATCACACACCTTTTTGTGAAACTGTAAAATCAATGCACAATCACAGTACAACCAAACATAACCCATACAACCTTTATATCATGATGCCAAAATCTAATTAATTAATTACTTAATAAAAATAATAATAATAATAATAATAATAATAATAATAATAATAATAATAATAATAATAATAATAATAATAATAATAAATTATTGATATTTCATACTTCTAGCATCATATTCAAGCTCAGGTTACAAAAAATTAACAAATTACGTAATCATATGTGTGAGATCAGAATGAATCGATAAAATTTTACAGTCTAAAACTTACTTTTAGCAATAACTAAATGTATTGATTCATAGTATATTAACAATATTATCAATAATTTTTTGTATAACAAAAAGTGAGAATTTTACCCACCTTTTTAAAATTAAAAATTCATATTTTACTAATCAATTTTATATTTTCCATTTATACTGTAATATAATAGTATAATTGAAAATAATCAAATCACTTAACCCCCCTTGTTATCATTCAATTAATTAACGGGTTATTAGCAATTTAATCCCAATAATTTCTCAAATTCCCAAATTCTATCACAAATTAATCACTATATTAATTAGTCTATGATTATACATGGATGAAGGCCAAGGAAAGAACTGCAGAGCTAATGCTTCTCTTGTCATGTTGCTAGAAAGATTCGAATTGCGTATCATAGTTTGGTTTTTCTATTATGTTTGACAACGGCTGAAAGTTACATTCCCAACATTGCTGAGAGAGACCTCGCTTGTTAACTAAACAAGAATGAAAACCAGAAGATTTGTCGAGATATCAAATCAGTGCCGATCTAGTCCCGCAGAGTGAGGAAAGCTAGGAAGGGAAGGGATGCAAAAAATGCATAACCTCATATTCCACAAAATAATTGTCCACTTATTTTGGTGATGCATATACGATTTTTTCCCTATAAACAAGACCATTGTAGTCAACGAGCCCAAAAGGAGCCGACTCAAAGACCCTAGCTTGCGAGCCAACTCGACTAGTGAAAAATAAAATGTGTGGGACTCGGCTCATAACTCGTTCCAAAACGAGTTCTAGCTATCCGTGAATCAGTTTAAACGAATTCACGAGCAACTCGATCCGTTTATCACTCCTAGGTAACAACCTTTGATGATGACAAAAGTCTCCTCAAAAACATGTTTTTGAGGCGTGGAGGAAATTCTTTTAGCATTGCAAGATATTTTAGTAATATAGTAATGGAATGCCAACCAATACACTAAATCATTCATTTCCTTTAGTTTATTTGGAGTATTTACGGTTGATTTGTATTTATGCCTACCTTTTTGTCCCGTTTTGATTGCCGTGTCTTCCATGTCTTGTGCATGCAAAAAGTCATCAATCTATTTTCATTTTCATTTTCATATTGCATAATTCAAACCTTTGTTTGGTCACACCATTTTATTATCCAAAGATAATACCCTTTATTAATGGAAATTACAGCTATCTTCCCATTTGTCAGCATATTACTTATTTTTATTCCTAGATTAATTCTTATTTCCAATTACATCAATTTGCCGTGTATTATATATTGATGTGTATTGAATCTCAAAATTAATGAAGAATTATTTTCATTCCAAAACCTAAATCTAACACCCTTTATCGCTTTAACTTTTCCCCAACTCTTTTCGACTAATTAATGATTTAAGACGACGCATTTTTGGATAAATTTAGATACACTGAGGACCAATTGCTATCAAGTTCATGACTTATTACTCATCATATGGGTCCTTGATGCTAAAATCGACTCAATAATGTGGCCAAGTTGGTGTGCAGACTAGAATTGAGTTTAGATGATATTTGCCCTTGTGCATGGGACCCCATTCCCATTGCCTTCTCTTTAAAGGTTCATCCAAGTGAAATGAACACGTTAAAGTAATTGGAGGAAACATCTTAGGAACCCACAAAGAAACAAAAGCAGGCGGCTTAGTTCATCTATACGGCTATACCTAACCAATTTTCCCCAGAGGCATCCAAAAATAATTCTAGTAAAAATATTCCTTCTTCAATTTCAACCCTTTGACCTAACCACCCAACTTGTATACTTTATACATCTATGTATAAACAAGTTAAATGTTTCATTAGTCACTAAACTTGTACATCCGTATCGTTTTATTTGCTGAACTTAAAAAAATTTTCGGGTATTTAGTAAGTGGAACCGTCGGGTCCAAATTTAATTATGGAATCGTTGGGGTTCGATTCCATTCGGTTCGGTTTGGTTCCATTCGGTTCCGTATTATAATTAATTTTTTTAATATATACAAAGTTACGTTAATTTAATTAATGATATATTTAATATTAGCTCTTACAACATAACGTAATTCAATATTATGTGTTTCACGTCTCTCTTTACTAAGAATTTCATAAATTTGATTATTAAAATCACAGAAAGAGAAAGATAGCGAGTTCAAAATAATTAAGAGAGATGTTGTAGAGTTTTAATTCGATTTTCTCCTGTAGAAATGACACTACAGTAGAATAACAGATTTGGATAAAATTGAGATTAATTTGATTAAGTCGATTTTGAACTGAATATTAGAAATAGGAAAATCATATTTTGTGGTTTGAACTAAATTAACTAGTTAACAAATTTATTTAGAAAAAATAAAATAATTTTATTTATTTAAAATAAATAAATTAAAAAAATTACGGAGATTCGGTTCTTCGGGTCTTGGCCTAGAACCGAGAACCGAACCATACCCGTCGGTTCCTGACTCAAATACCCGTTCGGGTATTTAAGTTGAGAAGAACCGTCGGGTTCGATTCTGTTCGGTTCGGGTTCGGTTCGGTCGGTTCGGTTCGGGAGTTTTGTCCAGCCCTAATACTTTATACATCTATGTATAAACAAGTTAAATGTTTCATTAGTCATTAAACTTGTACATCCATATCGTTTTATTTGCTGAACTTAAAATCCTTTCCAATGGTTACTGAACTTTAATTCATTGCACTTCATCACCCCCTCACTATGTTTTATAAATCACAGAACTTTTAAAATACTTTCGAGTTATCACTGAAATTTAACACGTGCTCTATCACTCATTCACCATATTTCACAAGTCATTGAACTTATACTTCGTCACACTTCATTTAATTTTAAAATGCTTTCGAGTGGTTACTGAACTTTACTCATTAAATCCAACTGTTCAAAAATTGAAAAATCTGAAGTATAAAATACCATATACAAAGATGGTGTCATTCTTTCCTCTTGAATTATCTTGTGACAACTCTAAAAATTTTAAATTTTTAGTCTTGATTAATATGATAGACTCTATATTGAAAATTTCACTGCCTATTTGAGATATAATTTTTTTATTTTTCTTGATTTTGGTCTACGATCACAATCGAAATATAGAAATAATTTTTCTATTTTATTTTCTCGACATAAAGGAAGATTATAATCTAAATTAAAATTTACGTCAATTTGAAGCTAGCATTAGTCTATTCCCTTGAACATTGCATCTTGTCTTATATTAAGAGTCTCATTATCCATCGACGTTGATTTTATTTGTTTGATCTAGGTGGAATATCATAGAAAATCAACTTTACTTGAATATATTATGAAATTCAAAGATCACTCGAAAGCATTTTAATATTCCGTGAGTAAAGCTTAACTTAGGTTTGAGTTCGGTGACTAACGAAACGTGGTGAGTGAGTGATGGATTACGTGTTAAAGTTCAGTAATTACTCAGAAGTATTTTGAAATGAGTGGTTATAACCATAATTTTAATTTGTTACACCATATTTTAATGTAGTTAAGCTCTTTAATTTTTACTCCTTGTAGCAACTATTTCCTTAATTTTTTTTCCAACGAACTCTTATCTTTAACCTTTCATTAATTAGTATGTCTCGTTCTTGATAATGATTTGTATTAAAATATATTTGTTTCATGCTTTGAAACTGAGGGAAAATAGTTTTTCTCACTTTCTTTTTTAAATAGCATGAAAAAATAAGTTATTTTATGCCATTTCAAATTTCAATGAAGTTTTGGACATAAAATTAATATCAAATACAAAATGTATTAATTAATGAAAATTTTGAGTATAGGAATGACATGAAAAATTGTTAGGGATATAAGTGCTATAATGAGCAAAAATTAAGAACCTTAAGTGTAATTAAAATGTGGTGTAAAAAATAAAAATTGTGATGAGAATATAATTAACCTTTTAAAATTCAGTGAGACTTATGAATCGTGATGAATGAGCGATAGCTTGCCACGTGTTAAAATTTAATAATCACTTAGAGATATTTTAAAGTTTAGTGAGTAAAACATGACAAAAATATATGTACAGTGATTAATGAAACATTTTAATGTATATATAAACATGTGAATCCCGACCATTTTCCTAATAACCTTAAAACTTCTTTCCATTCCATTCTCCAAACTTTACCATATTTACAAGATCGAACTTGTTTGCCTGGCACGTTACACAGAATTTTCGCTTGCTATAATTCTTGTACTTATCTATTTCACGCAATCCTCGAAAGAAAGAAAGCTTCCTAACATTAAGGCGTCTACTTTGGGTGGAAGTTTAATAATGAGTGGAAGGGCACTATAGCGCAATTCGACATAACTTTTATAGATTCCACCAAGGCGATACAGGTTCAGGGCGGATTTACAATCAAGGCAGTGGGATCACAGGCCCCCACAGTAATTTTGAAATTTTAATATTTAGCCCTTTTTTTGTAGTTTTCAATTTTTCCCCTCATAACTAAAATTTTGTGCAATTTACCCCACACAAATCTTATCTTCTAGCTCCGCCCCTGGTGCTATTCCACCTTCTTCCCCCCGTGAAAGAGGTAATGTTGTGATTACTGGTGGAAGAAAGCTCTTTGGAGTTCAGCCTAATTTACAGTCCATTTGCCCTCATAATTAAAATTTTGTGTAATTGCCCCCACAAATTCACTTCTAACTCCACCCCTGGCACTATTCCACCCTCTTCCCCTTGTGAAAGAGGTGATGTGGTGATTAATGGTGGAAAGCTCTTCGGCGTTCAGCCTAATTTACAGTCCATCCTTATTCCTGATGTTTGTCCTTGAAACTCTACAAGAAACTGCCATGAAAGACTTATTAGGATCTTGTTCTTGATTTCTTCCCCTAGTACGTACACCCTTGACAATTTTGTAAAATATATATTTTTCTTCTAAAGTGAATTCATATATCTATGTCTGTTAATCAAAGTAAAGGATATGAATTATTCTACTTCTAAAAGCATCCAATAAAAATTCATACGCAACAAAATCAAAATTTCGATTACACACAAATTAAAGATGCATTGAGAGAAATACTTGCTCTATTTCATCTAGGCCGAGAATGTGCACTATATATAATTTCCATACTCTTCCAAGTATTGAGCACCTCGATCCACAACCTACTCCAATCATGTTGCCAGAAAATGGAAGATAAGGAAAATAACGAAAGATTAGAGACAGAAGTGCAAAAATGGTCGAAGGTTGGAGAATAATAATGTAATTTCCTAATAGTTTTGATAGAAAATATGCATAGAGAGATTGAAAGATCTCATTTAACCGGAAAAGGCGTTAACAGATCATTGTTGGGATAGGAAAGGTACTAGAGTAAGTTCACGTGCACTGCAATCGCAACATTCTTCATGTCGACATTAAACCGCCCAAGAATATCCTCCTCGATGAAGAATGTAATGTTAAAGTTGCAGACATTGGGTTAGGAAAATGGATCGAGAGGGATCAAAGCAAAATGTACACCATGCCAAAGGGAACTCCAGGGTAGATAGAAGCTCAATTGATCGCCAGAAGAAACGTATCAATGGAGGTCGATGTCAACAGTTTCAGAATAGTGATACCAGAAGCAGAAGAGAGTCGAGTTCTTGATGTAATTTACAGCTGCATTATAAAACCCCCTCCGTCCTGTTTTGGTGGAGCCTAAAAAACACACCGTGGCTTAAAATAATAATTTCAAATATTCTTTCTTTTTCCTTCTTCTAACAAACTGCATATTTTTCAAATCATTTTTCAAATTAGTAAGTTTGAAAAAGTATGCCTTACTTCAGAAGAGAAAAATGCCCTGATGTGCAGCATATATACAGATGGTTATTAAAAATGTACATATATCTTCTTTATGCTATATTTGCAGATAAAAAACAATACTATTAAAAGAAGTTCTTAAGTATGCAGCTATACCATCCTTCAAGAAAAGCCAGTTATTAACAAAAATGGGCAATTCTAAAAAGGCATAACATAATGCAAAGGAATCTCCTTAGTTTGATTTTGCAAAGGCCTTTCCACTTCCCTTCCTTTACAAAAAGAAAAGTCCATACCAGGAGCAAGTTATGGCAATCATTCTCCATGAATGATTAAGGGAGGAAAAGATTTCAATCCATGATGTTGTCGGATCAGACGTTAAGCCTAATTATCTCGCTTATGGCATATTTTAAGGGGGATTAGACATACCAGAATACATTACATAGGAAAACGGAGTTAAAATTTTGTTATTGTACCATCCAATACTTTTACCAGACGTTTTATATAGCGCGTTTGGTAAATAGTACTCGACAAGATTGCAAAGTATATTGAACAAGATTTTAACGCCATTTTCTTCTCTAATGTTATCTAGTACTGTCAAATATACCTTATCAAACATCCTAATTGCAGCTAAGAGCTGTTAGGAATTCATGATCAGTGAAGATACACCTGACATTGAATAACAGTCTTCCCGATCTTGAATCCTGGAACCACTGTGAAAGCCACAAGAGGGTTGTTTTCGAGTGTGCCATCTGATGACAAGAAAGCCTCATCGCTTAAGCTCTCCATATAAACTTCAGAAAAACGACTCTTCTTGGTCACTCGAAAGATTGAGACTTCAGGATCAAAAGATAAGGCCAGGCAGTGTAGGAGCCATATGTGCTTTGCCATCGCTGCAAATGACAGGAAGAAGGGTGCTTCCAGATATTCACCTGAATTCACTGATTTCCGCTGATCCAAATTGCCAGAAAGAGATGCTTCCATCTTTGGATGAATAAGTTGCAAGTATTTAGTGCGACAAAACGTCGCAAATGCAGATTTAGGCTTCCATGTTAAGTAATCGGCTGGTCTTACAGATTTCAACTCCATGAATTTATCAAAGAAAAGCTGCCGTCGTTTATTCTTCTCAGACAAGGACTCTTGTTTGATGGAGAAATTTGGGTAATTAAAACCGTCAAACATTTCTTTGCAAACAAAGGATTCAAATGCAAAACATTTATGGTTTGGCTTCCAAAAAGAAACACCGGGTTCAATCAAACTCGCTGCAGCATCCAAATCCCACCCTGCAGATTCCATCTCTCTAATTAGCAATCGCACAAAACTTCTAACTGCTTTTATACACTGCCCTAGATATGCAATATAATGACTGGGGCTTAACCCGGATAAAGGAATATTGTCAGGCACTGCTAACTGCCCAGTTGAATTTAATCTCTTCTCGAGTGACTTGTTATCTCTGTTAGCTTCTGCTAGTTTCTCTTTAAGAAAGGTTATTTCAGAGTCTTTAAGTTTAAGCTGACAATCCAATTTTTTACTCATAATTTCATAAGTTCTCAGCAGACTCTTCTGCTCCTGAATTTCAGCCAAAATCTGAGTATCCTCTGGAGATGTATCATCTAATTGATTCTTCAAGTAACACTGCTTCAATTCAGACAAATTCTTTAGCTCGGAAACTATAATCTGATCTGCAGATTGAATCCCATCAGCATCATAAGGAGATTGCGCAAACTGCAACTGGGCATATGCGGCTTTGATGGTAGAGAGGCTAGCAAACAGTTTGGAAAGAAAAGCTTCTTTCACCGCCCTATCATGAATCTCCTCGTCTTTATCACCAGAGGGAAGTTGGGTACTTTTATTCGGATCATTAGATATCTTCTCATCAGATGTAGTCTTTTGAATTTGATCGTCTGAACATTTGACCGTCACATCTCCAATGTGCAAAATCTTAGACAAAGTGCGTACCCACCTACTTTTACTTGGGGTAATTGCCTCGACTGAAACCATCTGAAGCAAGAAAATCGTAAATGATGAGGTTGCTCTGCAACAAATGGAACTTCAAACGTTTAAGTAATAACAGCAATACAGAGAGAGAAAGAACAGAATATTTACGAATAATGATCATAATGAACACAACAGCAATGTATAATGATTAATGAGAATATCTCAGTAAAAGGAAAAAGCAAACGCTTTTAACTCTTAGCTCGAAGAGACTATAAAGATATATGGAATATCTTTTTGTTTTGCCTTTTAAGCTTGAGAAAAGTTGAGTTTAACTGCTGGAGAATATAGGGTACAAGGACGCACTGAAAACACGTATCTAAAATTCCATCCCGTATACTCAAAATGCCATGTAATCTGCAAAAAAGATGACTCATTGCATCATCGGTGATTGCGGGAAGGATATATGAATAAAGTCAAGAACTGTACAATTGGAGAAAGTAACAACTTTTTAAAAGCATGTTTACTATTGTTCTGAATATTCTGTTACAGGCAAGTTGGCCATATAATACTAAAAGTTAACTCCCATTGGACCAAGCTTTATAAAATATCGAATCCATCAAAAATATTTGACGGGAACCTATTAAATATGTAATGGGGGTGGCAATTATACGGCATAGTTGCTGTTTTTATTGCTATCAAACAAAATCAAAATTCAATGCAACAATGTAATCAACGTGCACATTTTGAGTATCGGAATATCCTACAAGGCTCACTGGCTCAGTGCTCATATAGGAAATCCTAAACAAAATACGAAACAAGCATTCAATGACTACCTTTTATGGCCAATAAATGAAGTTATGTCATTGCGATGATTTAGGAGCCGTGCCGAATGAGTACCATATACGAGTCATGCAAACAAGAGTGGAATCCACAACGCTACAGATGCAATTAAGACACTACACAACACTTGGTGATCGTATGCCCGTATCATCAATGAGTTAAAGCATAATTGTCAAACGAAGAT